CCACGTGTTTTTCTTCCAATAATTATAACGCGTCTTACCACGGGCCAAAAACACCACAGGTCCATCGTCATTGACTCTTGCCTTAGAACAAAAGATAGTAAGCCACGATTATTGTGTAGTGTCCCTTTCTGAGTGCACAGGGAGAGAGCAATGAGACTATTTTGAATTTGGCATACTTTGAGACGGCAATTGTAAGAAAACGTTGAGACGGATAATTTGTTGTTGTCATTTAGATAATGTTTAGTTAGAGCATGTGAAATTTTTTGCATTATTGAACAAGACGACTTAAACTTTGCAGTTGCCCATGCAGTTTCTTATCTTGTATATTTATGATAATTCTAATCGTGGCATGCACGATGATAGCACATTTACTGACCTTAATACCTCTACCCCATTGTAAAAAAAAAATACAATGTATTTTTTGTTGTCTAATCACTTTTTTTTCGAATTCACTGATTTTTGAAAAGTAATTTGCATGTCAGGAAATAATAGCCGCAAAAAAACTGCCTGTACGTACATTTGATCAAAATCACGTTAATGTAAACCACACAACACGAGAGCACGGGGTACTGTTTCCATCACATACCGGGGCAGGTATTAAGGTCAGTAAATGTGCTATCATCGTGCATGCCACGATTAGAATTATCAGAAATATACAAGATAAGAAACTGCATGTGCAACTGCAAAGTTTAAGTCGTCTTGTTCAATTAAACTCAAAAAAATTTCACATGCTCTAACTAAACATTACCTTTTTATTGTCGTGCCGTTCTGCAAAGTAAAAATGAGGAGAAAACAAAAACATCGTTTCCGATTTTAATTAGAGGGAGCGGGGTGTTTAATGTATCTGTGTATATGCTGTCCTACTCACAAGTACACAAAGACAAGATCAAATAAATACACGTACCTGTGGGAGCTCAAAACTAAATTAATTTTCGATTTAAAGCTTTCGTGACTGCAATGATTCATCTTCTTTGGTTCTTTCGGTAAAGTCACGTAGAATGAGAATAAAATAATAAATTGATAAATAAAATAACACAATAATATTCTCACGACGTTTCGGCCACAACACAAGCGGCCTTCATCAGGTGAAGGGACGAGACTGTCTGGTAGGGCAGCGCTGGAGTGGACAGTCTCGTCCCTTCACCTGATGAAGGCCGCTTGTGTTGTGGCCGAAACGTCGTGAGAATAATATGATTGTGTTATTTTATTTTATCAATTTATTATTTTATTCTCATTCTACGTGACTTTACCGAAAGAACCAAAGAAGAAAAAAACTAAATTAATGTTTGTGTGTACGTAGACGATTCACATTGCATGACCACAACTCATCCACACAAGCACTGGCCAAGGCTAGAAGACAAAGACCCCCCGTACAGCCTCAACAGACTTTTGGGGGCAAGCGGTTTTAGTGAGCACCTATGAAGGCCGACACGGCACACAAGGGGGTGAGTGGCTATCACTTCGCACGTGATGCTGGCTAGAGACTACAGGCAGGCGCACACCCGTGTTGATAAGCATCAAAGAGTGTCCATATGAGTGTTGCGCAATGCTGAATACAGCCAGCTGATGCTGCAGGAATAATCTTCGATTCCCATAATTCCACCCTTGATGATTCCTAGAGGAATAGTGATTCTTTTATGCTTCCCATCTTAAAATATCCATTCGTTGGAATGGGATTTTGAAACATTCTTCCAAGTAAGGGAATTTAATTATTTCGTGATTATAGCTTCGCTGAAAATATAAATGTGATTCTAGGCTGGGCTCAGGTTAAAATCACACCCAGAACATCCGTGACATTAGGTTTGAATCCATGTTTTAGCCACCATTGATTCAACCAATAACTGCCTGACAACAAATCTATTACATTTGAATTTTCAAGCAAGTTAGCTGAATTCCAGCTCGGGTGATTAATATCGTTTTGACTACCAAGCATCCTGAGTTTCACTGCAGCACGGCATGTGAGAAATTGCACCCCCCTAGTATCTGGATAAAAAGTAAGGGGGACTTTAAGAGATCTCAGAAGGAGATCTATGAAATCTACGTTTGCATGGCCCATTTTCTTCGATTGGTTAGGCAATTACTGTGAGATTTTTGAATTGATACTTTACTTGATAACGTGATGGAAAAAAACAAAGGCAAAAACCTTACGAAAAGAAGTTTGAATCACCGATTATTGTTGGTCATTTTTCGACCAATGCATGAATTATACTTGGTGCATTCAGTCAGTATAATTTAGTACAAACTGTGAACAATAAGTAGCTAAATTTTGATTTAAAGCTTTCGTGACTGCAGTAATTCATATTCTTAGCTCGTTCGGTAAAGTCACGTTGTTTTATATATATTTTATTGTTTCCCTTCAACGTGACTTTACCGAAAGAGCTAAGAATAATAAGTAGCTAAGTTCGTAATTGAGCTCAATGATTTGTTAATTGCTGTGTTGACGTTTCAGTGTGCAGGTGCATAAACATACGTTTTAATGCGCATAGAGGAACACTTGTCATTTGTGTCCTGAAGTTTTCCTGCCTCGACATCGGAATTGTGCTCCCACTCTGCAAATGTGCTCATCTATTTTACAGATTGTGTGTGTGTGTGTAAAGTACTGACAATAGCGGTTCCATGCAGTCATTCTGCTTTTGTAGCAGAGCTCGGGCATTTCATTTTGATTTTTTTCCAACAAAGCCAGAGAAATTCCATTTGTAAACGTCAAGGCTTGGTTTAAACGTGAGTAGGCAGAATGGCGTATGCAGCATTACATTCATTTTGGTTATTTTCAGGTTCCTTTATTTAACCAGCATTTAAGCCAGAATAATGGTATTCATCAGTTAGCTTTGACAGCTGCTATCACGGAGTAACATGCTGTTTATATATTGTTTACATTGGAAACCTCCTTTGTGTTGAATGATTGCTGTCAGTGAATGGCAATTTATCATGTGTTATGCACACTCAATATAACATTTCCTTTCAGGAATTCAGTGCAGTAATTGTCGTGACATTGAAGCAGTGAAATATAACCTTTATGGTCACCATTCTACCTCAATTCAGCTGCTCAAGTTTAGTTCCATTTGCAGTAAGTAGAGACTAGTAGAAGCTTCTAAAACCTTAATATCTAAGCATGTATATGCGATTTTAAGAGACATTATGCCTGGTCCAAAAATATTCCATCTTCTATGTTTCAACACTTGCCACGTATTACTCACAGATCATGTATTTTGTGGTTACAATGTGCATTTCTTTGAGATATAATAGTAAGTGTTGGTTCTGGTTACGTATACATGGTAACTTTGCCCGATAGATTTTAATAAAAGTTATTCAGATCCCCTGTATATATGGCTCACTCCAATTGGGCCTCAGGGCCATTCTCTCTGCAAATTTGCATATGGTACTCAAAATTTAACCCCCCCATTGTCATCTTCTATTCAACATACATCAATACACTTACATCACTGCTCACTATCAGCTGGAGATAATATTAAGCCCTTATGTTTGCACAAGCGTTTACAGCATGTTTACCAAGAATTACATTCAGTCTGTCTCTACTCTGACTTAAGTATGCTTTGCTCAACACTGCAGCCACTGGACAGCGAGTCATAATGATCAGTATTGACAGTAGGGCATCAATTCTGCCTGAAATAAAAGTGCTTCTCTACTTAATTTGGGGTTAACATGTGCTCTGAAGGGCTAAGGTAAAGCTCTTAATCTTTTGGTCATCTTGACAGCAAAGCCTCTGAATTCATCAAGGAAGAGAGATTCCAACTTCCTGACTCCTACTGTCTAAAGCTCTCTGTCAATACCTTGGTATTCCTGAATCACCTAGTGCATTTAGTGAAAACGCTATTTTTGTTCGTACATTTTAAGTGATTAATTTATTTGATATTGTCTGTGAAGAAATATAAAACGCTGCACCAAACATTTTTTTCTTCAATTAATTTCGACCGAATTAAATGTAAGTTTGCTTAAAATGTCAGGCAGTTGGGATACACGTTTTTTTGTACTAATCAAGATTGTCACTACATTTAATATATTTAGCAGCGTGTTCAGTCCAATGGCGGAGCCAGGGTTTTCAGGTATGGGGGGGCAACCCCTCCAGCAATTAAAAATGATAGAGGAGTTGTTAGTAAGTAAGCACTTGTCCCTTGCTTTTTATTCGACACGTGTGCGGCGATGGCGCAGCCATCGATCGAGGGTGGAATTCGAACCGCGTTGTGTGATCGGCATCGCGCTCGCTGAAGGTGTTCATGCCTTCAGGGAAGTCGTGTGCTGTATACGCAACTGCGCACAATTCTGTGAGTCACTTTTAACTGCTTTGCGGTTACTTATTGCCAATTATGGACTCAGACTATCGTCCTATCATCTCATGGAGTCCCTGGCACGTAATAATATGTTACACAGTGGCAGTGGGGGTCGCAAAATTCCGATTTATTACTAATAAACCCCAATTATCCGATGGAAATGTGGGATTTCGATCTCATCATTGGGAGGGCACGTGCCCCCCCCCCCCCACCGGCTCCACCAGTGGTTCAGTCTGCTGAAAAAAACAATTATTGTGTATGTTTGAATGTAACTGGTAGATATGTACAGTGATCCAACTATGTTTATTGTCTGATGAATACATAGTGTGCCTCATCTCGACGCTCTGAAATTAAACAACATTACATTTATTTTAAATAGGCCTTCACTGCCATAATTTAAGATCATTATAGAGAGTGTATTGACACAAAGAGGCCTTTACATTAACATGTCCTGGAAAATTGGATTACTAATTTGACATGAAAAAAATAGCCGTGAGTTGTGAGCGTAATTTCTGAAAATTATGATCATTATGGGAAGCTCTTAAGTGCACCAGCAATTACAACTTTTTTGCATTTTTTTCGTGGGGGGCATGTTATGTATTTCTTTCAAATCTTACACAGGCAGGGAAATGTGGTGCATATGGGCTCGTGAGAAACATTTGAAATGTTCTATGGTGGCTATGTCTGTCTGAAAATATGATGTTGTTTCAGAGTCGCCAACCGCTGCCAGCAATGGTGATGCTCAGTCTGCAGTGCCTGCCAGTGAAGATCAGGACATTTTTGGGCCAATGGTTTCAAATCCCCTGCCGCAATCCACACAGGTACGGAGGTCACACGTGGCACTGTGTTGTGAATGTGTTACGCAAGTGTGATGAATTGGCAGGTGCAACTTCACGCAATGATGTATATGTTTTATACCCTTTGGTTATTTCGGTAAAGTCACGTAGGTAGAAAATAATAATAGATCACGACGTTTGGATCGTAACAACAACGAGCGACCGTCTTCAGGTCGCTTGTTGTTGTGATTGAAACGTCATGATCTATTATTATTATTATTTTTTCTATCTACGTGACTTTACCGAAAGAACCAAAGAGTATGGATTCCTGCAGTCACGAAAGCTTCAAATCAAGATATATATTTTTGTATGACCATTCTCTCGGGGTTGTGATAAACCCAATCATGATGATAGTTGATCTTCTACGCTTCCAGAACATGAATTGGATACAGATTTTGTTTTTAGATTGTTAACGCTATTGCTTATGGATTAATGCGAGTATTTTGGGTTATGACATAATCGTGATATTGCATATCTGTTCTATCTCCATGTGTATTGTTTAAATAAGTCTAAGTGGCTGCAGGCTTTTGCTAAAAGTAGGTATAGTTGGTTAATGATAACAGCAAGCTTATGGTAAATTCGATCAATTATGATATATGAGTTCATGGTAATATCAAGCATCATGGTTTAACACTTTGAGTTAGGTTTGTAGGGTTTTGCATTGTCATTAAAACATGCCATGTTTTAAAATGCACTGACAAAATTCTCGATTGTGAAACCACTACAAACTATATGAAACATAATAATGGCACGAATACCAAATGTACTAACGGATATAGCTTGTTGAAAGTTGTGGGTTCGTATTTGGAACCCACAACTTGGACTCCAGGCCAAATTAGTGGCCAGCTTGAGTTGCCCAAAAATATATAAACGTCCTCCCAAAACAGCTACTCAGGTTGTGAAGCTCATGGAAATGCAGATTTATTGCTACATGTATGATTTATTATTTGTAACTGTCCTTATATAGGCACATATATATACACAAATCAAGGACAAATACAGAATACAATTGCATGAGTATCTTTGATTGTACTTTTACGTAAATAATAATGTTGATCGGCATGACCTTGTTCGGAATTCACCTTGATGCCAGTGGACAGCAAACCACTGTGAATCTATCTGTCGTAAGACATGAGGGACATTGTCAATGACTATTTACCAGCTGCTTTTAAAGCACAGTCCTGGAAGTGGGAGGGGAATTGGAAGGAAATGCGAACAGAATCGTAGACAACTGTACAAGGGAAAACTGAAATAGTTCACGGTCAACGCCCTTACTGTTGGGCTGATTTGCATGAAGTCAGCAATTTATCTTTTCACAGCTGCCTGTAGCCTTTGTGTGACATTTACAAGCATGCCACCGACTGTAAAATTTCCATTTAGACCCTGCGATGTGAACGTTTCCTTTCGGTAGGACAATTTGTACACTCTTGCCGTAGCGCGATGTCCGATTCTGAAAATTACTGTTAAAAACTCATTGTAACAAATGTGTAACACCTGTCCCTACTTAACTAAGGGTTTTAATTTTGATTTAAAGCTTTCGTGACTGCAGTAATTCATATTCTTAGTTTTTTCGGTAAAGTCACGTTGAAGAGAAACAACAAAATAACAAAATATATATAAAACAATAAAAAATTCTCACGACGTGAGAATTTTTTATTGAATTTTTTATTGTTTTATATATATTTTGTTATTTTGTTGTTTCTCTTCAACGTGACTTTACCGAAAAAACTAAGAATAAGGGTTTTAATGTTTATTTTTTAAAAGAGAACTGATATAATATATTACGTGAATAATTCAATGAAGAAGTCATAATTACATTTCCCTCGCAAAAATAATATTTTTGTATGCACGTTTACCTGATTAGAAAAATTACTGAAGGTTTTTGTAAATTCACACGGAACGCCTCTCAGAACTGTGCGCTCCAATGCATGTGCTGCCACTGAATTTGTTTGGTTCCATGCACTGCATTCTAAGCCGCTGATAAACAGGCCATCAACACACAGCAAGAGCCACTGCCTTGCTGATCTGACAATACGCTCGGCTTGTCACACAGGTCGCCATGGTGGCAAGATGTTAACTACCTCGCCTGGTATGCAGGAGGTCGTGGGTTCAGTCGCGACCCTGTGACAGTGCCTGTATATTTGGGGTTTGCATGTGTCTCTCTCTCCGTGGTGGTGTGGATTTTCCTCCGGGTCTCCCCGGTTTTCCCCTCCACATGTAGAATTAACATGCGTTTCGAGTATCAGGTTGCTGTACATTTCCACACGATAAGCCACCTCGTTGAGCTGTCATTTGTGGCCAGGTCGCTTCTGAAAAAGAGCTATATAGTTCAGTGGGCCTTACTTGCTAAAATAATAATTTAGTTTAAATAAAAAAAATGCTTAAACGAGACGCACAAAGTAACAAGTCGCACATGTGCTCAAAGGGCTCGCCATGCCCCCCTGTTGCCCGTGTATTTCTTTACGCAGCAGATTGTTACTTAGCACAGCTGCTTTGAAATTGCTTAGGTCATACAAATTGGCTTCGATGCATGTTCGTGCCAGCGCTGTTTGGGGGGCCAAAATTGCTTACCTTGTGTTGTTCGGTCGTTTAAACAAAAGGGGCACAGTAGGTGTGATTCCATTGTATGCACTCTTGACAGTGTTTTGCATTTTATTTCGTTAGTAACGCGGTTTATTTTTGGATGGAAATGTATTAATCAATATGCGAGGTGATACGTGTGCGCAGGATGTAGTTTTGTTTTGTGTTAAGTGGCCAGAGGGACTGTTTTTAGCACGCTTGCCATGAAGCCTGTTTGTATGTGTAGTGGGTTCCACAGAGGCGCACACTCGAACTTGGAGGCAACACGTTTATTTTTAATACAACGGGGTAACCATATAACCACTGAACGGGATAACAATATAGGGTGGTAATCACCACGCATAACTACATCACCACTCGACGGGATAATGACTTAGGGTGGTAACCACCACGGTTAACTACGTCACCACTCAACGGGATAACTATATACTCGGACCAGGTCAGCTAACTCCCTGCCTGGTCCACGATGCCGTTTGTGAAGCCCGAAGACTGAAGACATAGCCGGCCGATTCCATTCCCAGAGACGAACAGCCAAGATCGCTCTCAGGACTCGGCCTTTATGGGCTGCGGCGTGGCCAGGCTCCACCCTTAGCCATGCCCCCTTACAGATCCTTCTCGGAGACTGGGCCCACATCACATGTCTCTCTCGCCTCCTCTTTGGCCCTCGTTACTACTTCATCCGGTCACGTGCTGTCTCGGGTTCACCCAGACTACCATGTCCTCACCCGACCTCTTTCTCGCTGTCACCTAGACCATGCCCCCTAGGGGCACTTCCGTTCCGTAGTCATCCCGGTGCTAGAGAGACTCCACACCTACAGTACCACCCTTCTCTCGATACTTGCGCTACACCACGGAGACACTATTCACGCCACTCCATATGTAATCCGTGATTTCTAATTCCATATCCACAAATTAATTTCCTTTTGGAATTAGTAAGCATGCTGATGACTATTGAAATCAATGAAGAACCTGTGGAAGCATTCACAAGAGCAGGGCCTTGTTTTTTTCTGATTTAATTTCCCAAATTATAAATATTAAATCGCCCAAAGCCACAGACATGAATTACAAATGTCACTGTATCCCTATGATTACTCTTTTCTTTCTTGCAAAAAAATCGATTCAAAACCCCTAACCTTGTTAAATGCTGCTGTGATGCAATGGTTAGCAAACTGAACCTGTAATCCAGATGTTCCTTGTTTGATCTTCCGACTTGACATTTCAAACAATGGAGCAATTTTCTTAAACTCACCCCCACACCTCCCTCCTCTGTCCACTCGGCAGTATTCATGGATTGACCACATTCGATCAGCTCGTCGCATGTGGTGGTTGTAAAGTGTGGATACTCCCACCATTTTCCAAGACGTCTGGCAAGGGTGGAAAATTAGACCACAATACTCCTGACGGACTCTTGGGCTTTTTCGAGTAGACACTCTTCTACCAGCAGTGGTGTGAGGAAGCAATTACAGGACCGGACCCTTACCTATTATGTGGTTAAGTAATTGGTACATAATGGACATCAATGTTATGTCACTGTTTGTACAAATACGTTATTTACAACATTGGTGTTGGTGGTTATCCTCTGAGACATTGTCTTAATCCCAGTGAGTTTCTTCAGGTAAGCATCTCAGCAAATAAACATTACAAAGGTAGCGGGCCTGCTCCCAATCTTTCTACCCCAGCTTTTCAGATCCGGTTTAGCCTATATTGATGGTTCATGGACACGTCAAAACTTGCTGTAACAGACCCACGTGTTGCCTTAATAATAAAAACAGATAAACAAGTACAAAGATGCACTTTAAACTTACGCAGACCTCTGTTGGTTAGACCTGCACTCGAAAGGATACTTCACAGTTTGTGCTCGACTTTGCGGTTTGGGTGACCCAAGACTTTTTCTCTGTACGTTTTTGTTACTCAAAATTTGCCAATCTTGAACATGAACTGGGGCATGAAATCTGCCATTGGATAAATGGGAGGCTGCAGGCGGGTTTTTTTTCCCTTTCCCTTGTTAAGGGTGCATTCTAAATCTCATCTCGAGAACCGTCGGATGTTGCCACTCATCACATCGGGTGGCCCGTGAAAAATAGCCATGGTTGAGTCAGAAGCACAGGGCAAGGGCAAGCCATCCCTCAATGTCACTCCTTCGCTGGATATAGGTAGGGCAGCAACTCAGCACAGTTCTTCTTTGGCTATGGTGATAATTAAAATGTATCCTATCTATATACTGGCCCCTGTCATAGGAGTGTGCAATTTTCACCATTGGACGAGGTCTACCAATGAATACCAACACCACCCAGTACTCGTGTGGAGATAAGAGACACTTTAGGCCTTTTTCACGGAACATGTTTTACTGACAAAATCATGTAAATTAATATGTTTACTTGCAACAGAGAGCTCATTGAGATGCA